GAGCATTCCGGGGCACGTGATGTGATCGACCAATCGCTTGTTTACCCATTCCATAATGATAAAATCTCCAAAAACTTATGTTGTTCTGTGTGTATTGTATGAGAAATACCAAGAGAGCTGAAGTGGATATGATTGCAGCAGGGATGCTCAGCAAAATACACGTCTTCGGAAGATCAATAAGATGTGGTTGTGTAAAATTGAGGAAAGCGGATCAACCGAATCACAAAACAAACTTCCAAGAATATAGGTGTTCGATCGAGCACACACAAATGACAAGAAGACTGGTCGGACGTAGTACACAAGAAAAACGAGGTGAAGCATCGGACTGGATGAACCAACTCACTGACAAACCAACCAGATGCGGGATAGCCGGACCGCAACACAACCAGGATCTCGAAAATGCCAATCAGATCACATACTAGGCAATCCCCAAACAAACAATCACATTTCAGCTAAGAAATATTCTTTGGAAACTTGTTTATAAGTCGCGCAATGAAGACGAGACGTTTAAAAGCCAATGTTCAAATTCGGCGAGCAGAATAACCAATCACTAGCTAATAAACTCGTTGAATATTTTTCAGTCAGCTTAGAATAGACGGCCTAGTTGGGGAGCAATTTGCCATCAAACTATTGCTGATGGTGAGTAGCTTCCAGTAGAAGATGCAGTTTCCGTAATCCTGCCGTCACTGTGTTCAAGTATCGTCATCATTGACGGGAACCTCAGGAGAGAGCAATGATGCTGTATAGATGACATCCCGGGTTTCAGTTGGGAAATCCTCAGGTGGACGTAATCAAATAATCATTTCCCTAGCAATTTTAGGTGTCCGGCCTAGGTGTTAGTCACGTGAAACGGGATTTTTGACCGATTTTATAAGCTCAGTATCCTATATTCTCTAGTAAAATTGCTAGGCGATTGATCTCAGATGACAAATCACAATACGGAGTGAAGAAGTCGGGCCGACCATATCTTGGAACAAGATTTGTGGGGCTTGGTAAGTAGACAACGTTCTGCGTTCCTTTAAGATAATGAAGCAATACCAACAAGTTTTGCCTCGATTTGTGTTGAATGAACCCCAGAAATGGCTGCAACTCTTTAAACGAGGCAGCATTGTCATCAAAGTATGCTTGCTAGGAGCGCTGTAAGGCCTATCCTCCACCAGCAAGAGCACCAAGACTATGTATCTTAGAGTACCAGCCGAGTTCACATCAACATCGTTGTCATTGACAGCAATGTCAAATGAAAACATCGACACCTCACTATCAGTTCACTTCAATAAGGGTTCTATAATAGAAAGAAAAAAGAAAGGTGTAAACTGGGACCATGGACTAGCCAAACCCAAACATCCGCACGTCCAGCACTCGATCAGACAAGCTGAATAGAGTCGAAATGTATGATCTACACGTCCAGCACTCGGTCAGACAAGCTGAATAGAGTCGAAATGTATGAAGGACATCGAGGTTGGTCAGCCACCGTTTCCTTTCGTGTCTGCAGCCAAGCACAGGAGGGTCAGGTGGTCCCCATCCTGGAACGCGAACCGCACCAACGTCATCCAAACGTTTCATAACATCCTTCATTCCCTCAAGTCCTGCCAGATTTTGTCGACATCTAGGTTCCCGCCAGCCGGAGCACTGCGCTCCTCTTGGCGGTTGTTAACTCAGCCTGTATGACGCACGGCCGGGCCAACTAAGCTTTCAATGCTGCACACACTCTTTGAGGAAATTCCCTCTACTCCGATTACCTCACTGCGAACTTGCCGGTCTCAGCCAATTCCAGCCATAGCTCTTAGACATTGGTCTTGAAACATCTCAAGAAGTCTCAGATCCTCCGCCCGAAATGGCCAAGTCTTCTAGCCCACAACATGCTTCGAAATAGGGATCTTTGAGACCTAGTCACCTGCCTTTTTGACGTCACAAGTGAAGCAAATTGGCAAGCGTGGATCTGGTCTTCGAGCTTATCTTGTTGAACAGATAGTTTGGAAGGCACAAGCCGGTCGAGAGTATCGAACACATTCTTGAAGTCAAGGAATATCAAGATTGTTTGTCCCCGATCCGCATGCCAAGGTCTAGACAACTACCGTGGATCTGCTCAAACCTATCGAGCGCTGACGCAAGCATAGATTTGCTCGCCAGAATCCTGGTAACCTTTGGGGCCAATCAGTTCAGTCGATTCACATTCCGCGTCTACATCAATTCCATCATTCTTCCACGTGGTTCGTAATATCTCAAACAGAAACTTCACCTGAATAACTGCCAGCAATTTATTGATGTGTCAACAAACGTTTGTCGGGAAAGCATCAATTTGTGTCACGTGGTATGGTGATTTACCACATAGCCGGTTTATCACTTATCCGCAAAACAGACTTTCTGTGACAATAAACTTTAGTCACCCAGCATAGATGAATTCCAATGGGTTTAACACTGGAATTCCAGCAGAACATCTGTGTGTTTCGATCTGATAGGCTGGCTTCCACTGAGCACGGTTCATGAACACAGCAAGATCCAAGGAACACTCCGACTGATACACCTAGCTTCGTGTGAAGTCTTAAATAACTGTTTTGTAACTTTTGTTCACCAACGAAGATATAACCGTTTATAACAAAGAAAGGAAGGTTCAGCGCGCCATTTCAAAAGAATCTGGTAAACAGTCGGTGGAAATATAGCTGAGTAAAGTTTCGTTTTTTATACAAAAGCTGTGTCAGACCAACTGAGTAGGTTAACCGGTTGACCAAGTTTTAAGACAGACGGAGAACTAATTAGAGGGCTCGCTTCGTCAAAACATCTTGTCAGTTAGGCTGAATGCTTAGGTCTTACTGTTGGTGGGTTTGGGATCAATGCGCTTCGGTCGTCGAGCCCTCTTGGGTGTCATTAGTAAATTTCGTTGGTCTCTGTGGGTGAGTAATTGCAACCACAATTCTGGTTTCGGCAGAGCGGAATGTTTGGTCGGCTTGTTGGAATGTATTTTCGATTTAAGATACTACTGGTGATGACTACTCTTCAACGATAACCGCACACCATCACGAGTCAGCTCGTGATGGCTCTCCGCCCTACACAGGCCCGCCAGTTTTATGCACTCTGCTGAGATCCTTGGTGATTTCCACAGCCTTGGATATCAGTCTCTGTGGCGTGGTCCCCGTCTTGAAAATTCAGCATTTTCTGATTTTGTCATGTGTCCCGTATCCAGTTCATGTTCTGTCACGTACAAATTTAAGTGGATCGGTGACATCCGAAGACGCGCAAAAAATTTGGATTGCTAGTTCTCATGCGTTACAAAATAAATAAAATAAATCGTTCAGCTGTAACACCCCTCCGGTGCCTAGCTGCCAAGCTCCCCGATTGAAGCATGAGGGCTGGGATACTGCCAAGTTGCCCCAGCCTAGACAGTGGAAGTCGAGAGGCAAAGGTCGGGTCCGAACCACAGACCTTCCGGTCAGTAAATTCACGCTCTACCCACTTGAGCCATCTCACCTTATCTCGCTTTATCATCATCTCAGTGCTCTGTAAAAGATGCAACCGCCCTCTCCGTTTTATACCTGTTCTATGCGGTAACGTTCAATACATCATCGTGTAAGTTATAACCTCACGCTCTCAAGAGAAGCCACTTCGAGAACAGACAAACTTCATTTGCGGTGTACAAGGAATCCGTCAGGCCCAATTCGTTAGAGGACCCTATGAAGGCAGATCGCATCTTCCTACGGAGGCCGGTTTTCCGCAAACCGCAAACCACCAGGCCCGCTCCGAAGCTTACCCCGTTCGTCCACCAACTCACCAGCTGCCATTGGTGCAAACCTCCGCTAAGCAGCTGAGCCTCGTATGTAGTGGTTGTATGTTTTGTTATGGATCACGTGACTCGGACCAGCCAATCATTTGCTTCAGTTTGGCTTGTGCATAAATCGACTTCCCGGTTTTCCCTTCCACTCTCCAGCGACCCCTGTTTGAAATTACTGGTGATCAGAGTAGCAGTAAACTTCCACAACGTGCAACGGCATTCATCTTTTGTTTCCGCAAATGTGAACTCAAATGAAGTGAGTTTTCCCATGTCCTGTAAGTAGGACGCGACGAGCCTTAAGTGGAGAACGCTCACATGCACCAGACCATGGTGTATGGCCAGTGTTAACCTTGAGTAGAGCCAATCACCGCGCTGGAAAGGATTGTGACTACAGCCACCTACGCAATCCATGTGACCAAATGTCACAGGTGTGAGGCGGAGCAGAGATGATAGTATCAGGAAGGTCAGATTTCTGAAACTAATCCCAGAACATCCACCAAAACCTCAATAGGAAAGCCGGAAAGCATCCAGGCCAATCAGTCGTTCAAACAATTTAACAAAAGCCTATGAGTGTTTAGACACACCACAAAAGCACGACCGAATGTTATCAGCGTTCAGGCATTTTATTGAGGCACGATCGGTGTTGATGTGTGTTCATTAACGCCTATCAGACAGCCTGGATCAATGCCAGAAGGTCCTCTGTAAATAGCGTGGGGCCATTGTAACTTTCGCTCAGGCACTCGCTCTCGCACTCGCTTGTTCGGAATATAGTTATTGTGTTCCATTCTGTGAGTCGTTTTTTCCGGCACTAAACACTCGATCGGCGTCAGGAGCAGATAGAAGAGATTGGCGAATCAGCAGATATAACAGGTAAGGTTTCCGATATACACTCATTTGCAAACTAATTTGGTTTTTTAGGGACTCGTCTGGAACCTAGCCGAATCTCTCGTTTGTGATGTTTCCAGGCAACTGAATGTGCTGCACCAGGTCGCCTTATGTTTCAGTCGCTACGATATTCGAGATATCACGATACATGGATATTTATAATATACTACTCATAAGGTTGCTGAAGATTTGTCGACAGCCCACGACCGGTTTCGCCATTCTTGGGGCAACTGAATGTGCTGCACCACACCACTTCATGTGTCAGTTGCTGCCTGGAAACACCACAAACGAGAGATTCAGCTGGGTTCCAGATGAGTCTCCCGAAAGAACCAAATGAGTTTGCAAATTAGTGTATATTCTCTAATTTCATGCAATTTGGTTCCAAGTAGAACATAAGGTTGACGGAAACTCGGGGACTGCGCCTATCTGATGAGCCCCAAGAAGGGTGAAACCGGTCGTGGGCTGTTGATGAATTTTCAGTAAGCTTATGAATAGTGCATTGCAGGTAAGGTTTCCGTTCGCTGTCATTTTCATCGGAAATGACAGCTGTTGTTAACCTGTTCGAATTCTGACTTAAATTGGTGTTTATGAAGACACGTTGGACCGGCCGAATTTAAGTAGTCTGGTGTGTCACGCTGTCTCCGACAAAACATTACTGCATACAACAGACGTTATCTGTTACGAACATTCGATTGTGACGCTTTGGAAGGTATGGACGAAACAACTCGGAAATCATTAGGACCCCCAAGACACGTCCCAACAGAGCACGAATATACTTTTCTTCCCAAGTATCTCCACTCTGCAGCCCCTCGTTGACTTTAAGGGATGATCAAATCACTTAACACTTCCGTCACACTCTGTTGATGATGCTGCGACGCTGGAAACAGTTTAACTTCTTGAAAGCACAGTAAGCAACTTGGCATTGAAAAAACAGCTGCTAGACTCAGGAAACATTCACTCTGATCTTTCGTATCTGCGTGACAACTGCGAGATGACTCAACTGGTTAGCGCGCGAATTTACTGACCAGAAGGTCCGTGGTTCGAACCCGACCTCTGCCTCTCGACTTCCCCTGTCTAGGCTTAGGCAACCTGACAGTATCCTAGCCCTTGTACCTCCTTCGTGTGGCATGGCAGCTAGGCACCGGATGGGTGCTACAGCTGAACGTGACAACTGCACGTTTAGCGAGAGCACCCAGATTGATTCAACTAACCGCGTGACCCAATCTACTGAGAGTTTAGACATTCCTAACGAAAACACTTCGTTTTAATCCAACCTTGTCGGGAAATCGCAAACAGCCTACAGTTTCATGCCAGATGAACGTAACGTCTACCGCTTTTAAAAATACACGAAAGTCAAGGGGAGTGCATGCGCTCGACAGGTAATGTTATGGTAGCCTAACTTCAGGTCAGGGAATACCGCAGTTTTACCTATTGATGGAGATGTTATCCCCCATCCGAAATTGGTCACAACAATCTTTGCAGTGTGCTGTCACGTACGTCCTAATCCAGCTGTGAGGGGTGTGGTTGAAATGCACCTCGGACACCGCAGCTACCTAGCTGGCTATACCAGAGGTTAGTTTTTCTTTTCATGGATCGATCGAGCTGCCATCACTCGCGGCACGAGAAAGCGCAGAATTCAGTGTCCTATACAAATACGCTCCGTCCTATTTGCTCTCCAAGTAATGACAGAGTTCTCGAACTTCCAAGTGTTGGGTCAAAATTTTAGCCGGCTTTTTTGAAATCAATTACACTTTAGTGGTCATCGTTATGCTCTGGTTGGTCTTTCGCAAGGAATACGAAGGTTTTAAGTGCCAGGCTTCCACCATCTAACGGATCTGTCTACCTTTCTTTAGACCATAAACTTTTCTCCACTCGAAGGATCTACTCATTTTGGATAATTTTAGTCAACCGTACCGACCTTGATGATCTCACTTTCAAGTCGGAAACTTTGAACGGACAGGTTTGAAACGCACTTTGTGTTCGTTGACTTGTCAGGACCATCGAAACTAGCTCAGATCCTCAGTACTGAGCCATCACAGTTATCAGATGGCTACGGTTCGAGAGGAATTTCGTAAACCCGTGAAGTCTTGGTGGTGAGCGAATTGTTGGACGTGCTCCAGAGTGAGCGACGTTCTTCAAACATAGCAATCTACTTTGTAGTCTAAAACGGTTCACTTTGGTTTGTGCTTGGTGCCTGGTTTATGTCGAAAACTCATCCAGATCATACACATCTAGTGAACAGGGCACCATAATTGTCTGAACTCGAGATAGCTTAGTGGTCAAGGCACGAACTTACTGACTGGAAGCTCTACGATTTCAGTTCAACCTCTTGACTTCTCTAGTGTAGGTTTGGCAGGGTCTCAGGCCTCGTGGCTCGGTTATGTGGTATGCATGCTGTAACACCGTCTACCGAGACAAATGTTCTTCGTGCCTCCTTCAGAATTATAGAAACCGCGAGGTAGACAGACTTTGACTTGAAAGAAGAGGTTGGGAAGAATTTGGGTGTTATTGGTTCGGTAGACCTTCCAGGATGGGATCCCTGTGACCCTGTCTGCGCGTGACTGAGGACATTGCAAGAAAAGGTGGCTGGTTAAAGCCATTAGTCTTCTTCTTATCAGTTTCTTTGAAGATTGTCTGACTGAGTGCTTGGAGGTATAGGCACCTCAGAATGCTTTCGATTTGCCAGTACATGATCCCCTCCCTCGTCCACTCTTTTCCACTTCTCTACATTTCAAGGCTTTAAATACAATGTGATGAACTTTGTGGGCAGTGAAGCATCATTGTCAACACTGACTTCGCTGTCTCTGATGATGGCGTTTCCTTCGGATGGCATAGCAGCTTTAAATGAGAAGGGTGCTACAGCAGAATGATTTTTTTATTTGTTTAAATTCACTCATTTTCGCATGTCGACCTCAAGTCCTCAAGACTGAATTCACATAAGGTTCTGTGCCCACTATTCACGAAGAGCTAGCCGATGATATTTTAGACTGCAATACTCGGCGATAGTCAATAACCGCACACAATCGAATCGATCGTAATTCGTATGGAAACTGGTTTTTACCGATCCGAGTATGCTTCAAAAGCCACGGTGTAAGGGTGAACTTTCGCCGGTGATGATATACATAGTAAACGTCAGTGATATTCACCGATTTAACGAATACTAGGATGAAAAAATAACATTTGTATGAGTTACGAATGAACAACGGAATCTGGATATGTTCACGGTGTGTACCTTAACATTAACTGTCATCGACTAGCTCAGTCGCGTTTGTAACGTGATCAAATTGAACGGCTTTCCCACTCTTTTGATAGAAACGGACGGAAAAAGTGACTGGCTACACGGCTTCCGCCTAGAATTCCCAGAAATACATTTACCTGCATCAAAATTCTCACACTTGGCAACAGGGGTTCAAGTGGAACACAAGACTGAGAGAAACTCGGAAACTGCGTCCACCTAATGAGCCCGTAGTGGAAGGGCGTGATCTTTCGAAGAGTATTCAGCAACCTTACAAGTAGTGTGTTGACTGTAGACACATTGATATACTTTCGCAGGATGCGAAACACACAGTCTCCCTCTAGCGTCCGCTGTGAAGAAAAGCAACAAAGTTTCCTTCTTCTAGGAAGACTGCTCTTTAAATAAGGACTGACGCAATCAAACCCTCGGGGACCAAGCCGAGATGATTAGATTTCAGCCGGACGAACCCGTCCACATTTTCGCCGGTCTCCGTACTCGACGTATATCATCATCACCATCATCACCATCATCATCGTCCTCATCATCATCATCCGAATCATCATCATCATCATCATCCGAATCATCATCATCGTCATCATCAATAGCGTGACATCAGTGTTGAACACCGATGCTTCACTGCCGTACAACCAAGATTTATTTGAAAGTCTCTTTGTAGAAGGGGGAGTAAAAGTGGACGGAGAAGGGCTTTATATCAAATCCAGCGAACCTGCTGGGCATATCCACGTGGAATTGCGCTGCACGAAGGACCTGATCAACACTCCATTTCGGGTGAGACAAAGTACCCATAGGAATTAGTCGCTCCAGTTCACTGATAGTCCTCGTGACTCGCCTCTCAGGGCTCCTGTAGGTGAGCGATATTCACTTTATCAATGACCCCAAATTTTCACCAGTTGAACAATGTAACAGCTAAAAACAGCCATTTTATTCACCCATAATGTACTTTTAGAAAAGGCAATCAGGAGTGCAGTGGTCTAAGAGGATCAACTGAACTTGTCAAGTTACCGAAAGTGTAAATCTGGTTAAATGTTTGAACTTTTGTAAAGTTACATGCAAGAGAGAGAGAGATGTTTCCAGACTGGCATGAAAAAATGTTGCAGTATTGATGACTGCAAGTTGCGTTTGCGTCCTCCTTGAACCATTTGGGCGTACCAGCTAGACTTTTAATGACCATCCAGCTGCTCATCAATCAATGGCTCTGTGATCGACCCTTGTTTTGTGCCAGAATAAAGGGGCAAAACACTACGCTAACTGAAGCTTTGCAGCTGTCCTCATTTAATTAATTTGTAGTGACAGGCAGATCTATTATACCGTAATATTGCAGCTTAGCAGTGAGCTCATAGTTCAAATGTTGCGAGTTCCGTGGGCTTATTCAGGAAAAAAAATTTCATTTAAAAGGATAAAATTCCTTGATCACAACAACGTCAAATTAGCAATGTATCATTCAGTCCCTTTAGGTAAGTTTTAAACGAAATGTCAAATTACTCGTGAAATAGAGGCGACATACTACTTAAAAGGTTACTGATAGTGAAAGGAAGGAGGTCTTCGCTGTGGAGTTGTTTATTCGGAAATGCCAACTGACCGGTTATAGACCATTGAACAGGGAAGCAAAACTCTAATCTGCATCTTAGTTCCAAAAACTGGACGCCGATCTGCTCCCGAACGAGTAGTCTTGAAAGTTCCTGGAGATTCATTGGCTCCACCCATTCGTTGGTCAACTCCAAGCAAATGTTACAAAGTGGCTCTACGAATTCCGCAACAGATCTCCCTTTTTCAATAGACGCAAAGCGAAATTCTACGAACAACACATACTACTCGCGTGCCTCCCCGTCAGTAGAATCACCATTACCATAGTAGTGGGGGGGCATTTTGGCATTTTCAACTGAGGTTCCATCTAGTCAGTGGAGTCAGCTTATGCTGAGAAACCCGAGGACGACCAGGCAGTTGTTTCATCAGCAGTGCATATCTCGCATCCGGACCCCACTAGGGGGTCCTCAATACGCTTCATCCTAGCTAGCAGTTTTAACGCTTGGCGTTTCGATCAAGGGCGTCTGAACAGTAATATGATTAGCTCTCAGTTAGTTAGTTAGTGAGTCGTGCTCACAAACAATCGATAAGCTGATACTGAATTCCAGTCAGTTGGCCAATTCGGAGACCATTGATCCACCATAAATGGATGTTCATCTACCAAGTGTGAAATACACTCAGTTGTATATCAAACTGGTTTTAACGGGAGACTCATCCGAATCCCACATTTGTCTCTCGCTAATGATTTTCTGTGATGAACATGACTGATACTCTATTCGTTGCTCTATTCATTATTCTCTTGTTTTAATATTCCATATGCTGTACATATTCGCCAATTCGAATACATACGTGCTGGTTGTTACGCTTCGCTGAATTCTGGATTTCTAGTTCGTCTGGTTATACCGATATACGTACGAAACTTAATTCTCACCTTTTCTTCAGCCGCCTCATGTTTCAGTTGGTATGACATATCGTGATACCGTGCAGACATAATACACTACTCATAAGGTTGCTGAAAATTCTTTGATAGCCCACAACCAGTTTCACTCGTCTCGGAATTCATCAGTCATACGCAGCTCTCCATCGTCCACCAACTTTATGTCCTGATTAAACCAAACGAACTCATTTACACACTAGGTTGATTTTATTGGATGAATCTAATGAATCTTAGTTGAAGATCACGAACAAGATATTTGGCTGGATTCAGTCAAGTCTCCCCCCCCCCCTCAGACCACGTGAGTGCATTTCACAAATTTCGTACAAACGGGGTTCAGTTGGACCATAAGGTTGACGGAAACTGTGCCCACCTGATGAGCAATAAAGACGAAACCGGTCGTGACCCTAATGAGTAGTGTTCCTTCAAGAAAACTAACCAGATGCAATGGTTACCCCTCTACCAGCCAGCATGGGCGAACGTTTCGTAGACCAAGTATATGTGAAACCATTGAGGCGAAGTCAATGCAAAGCATAACCTTATCAGCGGACGTGGTTTTACTGACAAGCATTTTTCACAAACCCGAAATCAGGGAGGCAACTCCCTCAAAGACCAGACTCCCTAGCCAACAGGACTGTTCGACCAGTCCTGTGATTTTATTCTCTACCTCATCATAATGAACAAGGAGTTCTTTTCGATTTTCTGCACTTTATACCGACATGAGCGCTTTCGTCAGAATACTCATCCGAAAAGCATCACACTGAAGGTATAAAGGTTTAAATAAACCTGATGTCAACACTTTGAGTTGCACTCAAATTCCATCAGACAACGTGAAGAGTTCGCTCTTTGAAGATATTGTACTTTTGAATACATAACTTTAGTGGAGAGTAAAGTGTGAGTAAAGCCAAACTATACTGAAATGCCAAATCTAGTATATCCTGTTTAAGTACGAGTTAATCGAACTGCGAATCAGTCGATGGTGGTCGAACGGCTAAGTGGTCACGGGTTCGAGAATCCCAACTGGAACTTCGTGAGATGTGCACTGTTGATGATTTCCAAGAAGGATAAAGCAGTTGTACCAGTGCTTCTCGGATTTTCAGCATAGACTGGCTTCCCTTACGTGACAAAATCTCCATTGAAAAGTCCCGAATCCCCCCACCCTACCAACAAAATCTTACCTCTCTAATCAGCGAAGCGGCTGGATGATGACTGACCTGGCTTCTTGAGCCATTGTCCATGCAGTTTAGTGACGCCTACGTTAGCTTATTGTCATCTGTTTGGCCTCGACTCTGTCCGCGTTCCTTGATGTGCCGGTTAAATAAAATAAATCTCTCGATACATGTATATGTGTAATGTACTACTCATAGGGTTGCTGAAAATCCATCGACAGCCCACGACCGGTCTGGTGCAGCACATCATAAACGAGAGATTCAGCTGGGTTCCAGGTGAGTCTCTCGAAAGAACCAAATTAGTTTGCAGATGAGTGTATATTCACTAAAATAAATCTCTGTTCATCAGAGTGATGCTATTCGGTAAACAAGTTATAAATTGCATTGTATCGAGCAGGGTATTTTCAACATATCAAGGCAAGGTGGAGAGAAATACAGTGTTACACTTCCAACTCGAATGAATTCATAAATGCATAGAAAGACAGAAACGAAAACGGTTCAACAGAAATTTGCAGTCGGGAGCCTCAGCAGGACAATGGAAGTCAAACTGATTTAGACATTGGAAACCGGTGATTAACTAACAGGATCCTAACTTAAGGGTGTTAGCAATGTGCGTTCTGACCCCAAAGCTATCCACCAGGTTATCCATTATAGGGACCACCAGAGCACTTCTGACTGCTTTCCCACACCATCGATCGATCGCCCTCATGCCCTAGGCGTCATCCGTCTGGATGTGCCACACATAGACAGACCCACAACACACACTGCTTTCATGCACGACGCACGCACACAAACACCGCATGCTCAGGCCGTCTGGTCATTGCATTGCTCCACTATTTAACTTGCAGCTCCGTCATGCTAACCAGTGAACGTAGTCGTCAAATCGCACTCGTTTGTCATCAATGCGCCGGTTGGCCATTGGTCAACGGCTCCGATCGGGCCGATTGAGGCTACGACTGGCAATTCGCATTGGTGGGCTTTAGTGACCAATAAAAGCGTAGCCCGGGGAATACACCAGGGCCACAGCAAATCCAGCTGCAAACAAATCAGAAGACAATGATTGAAGGTGCAATCAATGTCCAGGGTCCCAGAGGATAAAATGTCATTCCCCTAACTTAGACAGCCTCAAGCATTTCCCGTTTCCATAAATTTTGTTCCTCTAAGCAGGTTACCAGGGCAACTCGCACAGTCTAGTGGAAAGCCTGCTCACAGGTTGATTTCAAAAGCTTTATAACATTGGCTTGATTAGAGTAGCTACTGACGCACTTTCAATGCTTAAAACTAGCTCAAACCGGTAAGGTCAGCGCATTCAAACAGTTTCTGAGTATCAGTCTGAGGAGAACGAGTGAAATAAAGTGAAAAAGTTCAAATTGGAATGTTGTTGGAATGATGGTGGCTGATTTGGGTGGACCAGGATTGTAAGAGTTCACAAACAGCTGAATGTATACCGTCCAATAAGGGTTAAAATCGTCACCATTTCTTAACAAAGCATGCTTGATCAAGAAATGTGAACAAACTGACAAATTTGCCTGGTGATCGGAAAACGGGTGGATAGCATGCTAAAATTCTGGCATAAGTACATATTTATGGTGAGAACAGATCGAACAGGTTTGGAAACCACAGTTGAATGAAGTGCCTCATAGGCACTCCCTTTGTTGAGTTATTACAGTCCTCCTTAGGCTGACGTGTTGCATTACTCGCCAGTTTTCATGAGTTGCGAAAATCGATTAAACGACTGTACGTGAACAGCTCTCGAATATGGATGAATATTGGTCAGCTGTCGCACCCATTCGGTGCCTAACTGCCATGCCAACTGAAGGTTGCACGAGGGCTGGGATACTGCCAGGTTGCCCAAGCCTAGACAGAGGAGGTCGAGAGGCAGAGGTCGGGTTCGAACCACGTATCTTCTGGTCAGTAAATTCACGCTCTATAACCACTTGGCCATCTCGCCCACGGACGAATATGCTTTACTGGTGACCTCTTTCAGACGAAGCAGTGTAATCCAAGAGCACCGAATGGTCACTAGTTGAACAGCGTGCGTGAGAAGAACAGTACATAAGGCAATTATTCGAGATTTTTTTTACAAAAAACAGTCAATGTAGAGAAAAATTGAAAGGATTTGACAGTTTTCAGTGGTAAAATCGAACATTTGGCCTCAAAACAAAGCAGAGTCCTACTTCGAAAAACCTGGGGTTGTTACTGGTCAAGGATATGGTTACTGGTATCTCACCCTTTAGTCACATGGTTCGCAGCATACCCCTGATGTTGCATGAGTTCTCACCCTACCTTTCAGTAGATGAACTGCTTTGTGATTGGTAGAATGCCCTGTTCGCTACGCGCCTACAACCGATTTGTCCATTCTTGATTTGGGTGCTGCTGATGAGTACCAAGCAGGATGAAACGGACTGTAGTGCCTATTGGGTCATCTGAATAGATCGGTTTTATCCGCAGGATGAAGCTTTTTGTAGGCGAGCCACTCTAAATAACCGACCGTCACGTCGATCTGACAGATGTGCCGCTAGCAGGCTACGGATCACAAGAAGGTATGCATTGATCTGAGCCGATCAGGATCGATACTTTTCATACCTGGAACATTTCTTGGTAACCCTACAAAAACCGCTGTAATATATTTTCTCTTGTCTCCATAAAGAACTGTCTTAAGCTTCCTTGCCTTCTGGTATATCGAAGTGAGCGGAACAAGAAAGGACGTACCTACAGTGGAATGGCAACACCGTCTGCAACTGAAATATTGATCAAATTGCTTTCAAATCGCCTCGTACTCTCTTCACACATGTAGCAGTCACAATGCTAGCTTTCAATTGAATTGAAAATGGATGTACTTTTTAGCAGAGTTTGCTTACCTGAGATTTCTCGCGTACAGAAAATGCGAACGCTTGCGGTTCAATAACTAACGGTCTGTGTGCAGTTCCTTTATTCTGTTTTGAATCGTTTCACTGTGCATGTTGTGGCCATTAAAATTCAGTGGACAGCAGACAAAGTTGGCGAGTCAAACCGACTCGGCAAAATCAGAACTGGTTGATCTCATTTGGTTGGGTTCCTTCACTTTCCTCACACTAGAGCATGTTGATGTTTTCAACCCCTCATCAGACAGATCAAATACCGTCTATATTCTAAATGATGGCACCGAAATCACAAGGGCTACTATCATGTGACTGGCAAATCACGTGAACAGGATGAAAATGGTAAAGCCTGTGCGTGTGTGTGCACTGTTTCGGGAGAAACCTACTATTTCAAAACAGGATACTTAATTGGTTGTCATCAGGTGGCAGTTGATCTGTTCGTCGAGTATGCCAAATGGCTTTCAAACGTCTCGTCACCATGCGAGGAGTTGTCCTGAAATCTATTCAGGATTTCGTTTCTCATAGATTGGTTTTAATCAAACTGGCTACCTCCGAGGGACAACCACTTAGTTTCGAAAAAATCCTCCTTACAGTAGCATTTGATTCCGTTCCTTTCCAATCTGATTAGCTACATAAACTAGCCTTTTTCTACCGGCAATTTCATTTAGTCTCAACTATAAATCTCCACCTTTCTATCAATTTGTTAACAAAGTAAGTTCTGATCGTGGGCTGTCGAAGGGTTTTCAGCAAACTTGTGAGTAGTTTCCTTTATGAAAATATACTGCGATATCTCGAATATCGTGCCATGAGGCTATCAGGAAGGTCAGCTTCCTGAAAGCAACCACTGAATGTCCGAAATCTACCGAGACTCTCAGCTCCGCTGAGTGTTGACCAGACAGACAACGCCTCCGCAATATGCAGCACGTC